GGCGAGTGCGACTCGACGTGCGAAGGCAACGCGTGGGTCTTTACCAACATTTGCTTTGCCGTTGGCGCCGGCATCATCTACCTCCTCGATGCGCTCGTGCACCGTCTCTCGCCCGATCTCAAGGACGAGATCGACGTTGCGGATCTCTCGCGCCTCGAGCAAATCGTCGACGGCCACATGCCTCTTGTGACGCCCCGCAACGAAGCGGACTTTGATTTACTCGCCAACAAGGACAAGGCGGCCATGAACCGCACTGGTGTCCTCACGGCCATTGCGCTTGCGATACACAACCTTCCGGAAGGTGTCGCCACGTACACGGCGGCGGTCCGCGACCTCAAGGTCGGTGCCACGCTTGCCATTGGCATTGCGCTGCACAACCTCCCGGAAGGCATTGCCGTCGCGACGCCCGTCTACTTTGCCACCGGCAGCCGCTGGAAGGCGTTCTTGTGGGCCTGCGGCTCGTCACTCGCGGAGCCTCTCGGTGCCATCCTCGCCTTTTTCATCCTCGGTGACGGCCTCAACCCAACCGTGGAAGGCGTCATGTTTGGTATCGTCACGGGCATGATGGTGACGCTCTCAATCAAGGAGCTTATCCCGTCGGCCGTCAAGTTTTGCCCGGATGGCCACGCGGTCTCGATCGCGATCCTCGGTGGCATGGGACTCATGTCGTTGAGTCTCATCCTCTTTGCGTACGTCGGCGTCTAAGCATACGCTCATCTGATGCGATGTCCGCTTTTGTTCTCACAATATTCTTTTTCCTTTTGCCAGCAGCAGCCAGGATTTCCCAGTATAGGTCGGGTTCCTCTTCACCGTGTTGACACTGACGCGGGCGCATAGGCGAGATCACCGCCGTGACGAAACCCGTAAGCGGCAGGATCTCTTCTAACCAACTAGGCGAGCCGCAGATGACAAGTCGTGGTCGCGGCTGATCCACGTTCGACAGAGAAAGTTCTCGTTGACATCAAGCGCACGGTGTCGACGCGACCGCAATCCCATTTCGTGTCCGTGCTCCCTGCTGACTACCTACTGCACCGCATTTGCTACAAAGTTGACCTTCAGTCCTAAGAATAATGAATGGACATGCTCACGCGCATATTCTTCTTCGTCGTCCAGCGGTTTGTCGATATTTCGGAGTTGGCCAGTACGTCGTTATTCATACCAGGTCTCCACTTCTCTTCGAGTGACGACCGACGCTACCGCAGTCGCATCCGATCCGATTCACCGGCATGATATCCTATCCACCTCAAAACCAATCCAAAACCAAAGATACGATAATACTGGTAACCTAGAAACACGCACGATACAAAGATGCGTCGCCGGTGGCATCTTAAAACCAAAAGCGTGTCCTCTCTCGCTTCAGAGATCCTCGACTCGTTTGCGCCACTGGGACTAGATCCATCCAGCAAAATAGACTCTCCAAGTCCGCATCATAGGACGAATCTGACCTCGCATTTGAAATGACCATGCCACATCACGACTTGTCGGCCTGTCTGTGACGAGACATCGAGAAGATCTGTACGCGCTTCATTCGTGTCGCCTTGCTCCAATCCCACGTCGCGCGTTCGTTCATTGGCCGTGGTAGGTCCTGACATACAGCGGTCATTGCGCGTCCTTAACAAACGACGTTTGGGACACGAGCATGTCACGTTATCTCTATGCATCTTGGGTGCAATCTGAAGCAGTTTACCTTCAAGAGACGGCTCTCAGCCTCATCCATGATAGACGGCACCGCTCAACTTGATTTGCTTCGTATGCAATTGTCCTGCTCTTGTCCACGACGCGTGGATCCTGGACTGTCTATGACGCCTGCAGCGAGTGGTCTCGACCGCATTCCACGGACTCAGATCCCGATTCATTTTTTCATTCGCCGCGTTCTCGACACCACCACCACCAAGAAGAAGAATGCCCGAAGTCACAAAAGAAGTCGGCATCGCCTTTGCCCTCACGTGGGCCGCGGCCTTTGCCACCTGCATCGGCGGCCTCGTCATCTTTAGCGCGTCCATGGTCAAGATGGCCAACGCCAAGAACCTCTCGATCGCGCTCGCGCTTGCCGGTGGCGTCATGGTCTTCATCTCGCTCGTCGAGATCTTCAACGAGTCGGTCGAGCAGTTCAAGGCTGGCAACGCCGACGAGGCTGGCGAGTGCGACTCGACGTGCGAAGGCAACGCGTGGGTCT